TGAACAATGAGGCCTACTGGAGTTCACTCATTTGAGTTTAAACAAAGAACTATTTGACCATGTTGAACTTGTTTACTGTAGCTAACAGGTTTCTACAAGTCTGCGACAATCCTACAGAGGTGATACATAGTGCAGCGCGCTACTGAGTCGAATAATTATTTAATTCAAGTAAAACATTCGAATTAGATTATTCGAATACCGATTATTCAAACTTGATCTTTGCGTAATCAGTTTGAATTTGAACATATAAGATGTTACGCTTTCGAATAGATAGAAGATTCGAATATTGGATTATTGCCATCCTCGAATTATTCGATTAGAACCTCCATTTTTCTAGTTACTCGAAAATTCGAGTATTTGACGGTTATCGAGTACTCGATTCTTCAAACAAATTGGATTACTTGAATATTCGAATTAATATTCGGTCTAGTACGTAGAAACTTGGGCTTAGTAATATCGTAGGCCGTCGAGGGCCTACCACAGTATAAAAGGATTGAATTTTCTTAACAAAAAACTCAATCTTTTCCCGGAAGAATTCAAACTGAGCTGGCTTGCTACGGTTTTATTGAAAGTATTAATACTAAAGACGATTCCGGCACAAACCATGGTTCAAATTTACACTAACTTTATAGGCTATGCGACTCTTATAAGGGAATACCCATCTTATATAGTCAATACAGAAGATTTGACAGGCACAGTGTTGGAGCATAGCCACAGCTCGAGCAAATTTTAAGTACCTCATGGCCGATGTAACGTTTCAAACTTCTAAGAACACTGAACTTTAGATTTGTGATGGCATTAGGTGCTACGACTACGACTACAAGTATGTAGAGGTTTATGAAAACAAACCCCTATTGTACAGCTTGCAGAAAAGTCCTGCATCTGGCGAGTAGCTCAACATAATATCTCTTTTTCATCATCAATTTCTCAAGTAAACTCAAGGTACAAACTGATCATTAAAATGTATTTGGACAAGTTGCAAGCTATCAGCAATTGCAAAAACTTGTTCTCGAGATAGTGGTTGCTCACCTCAGCTCCTAACTTCAATTATTGACTAAAATGTAATGTCTGAAACATTTGAATCTTGAATGTAAAAGTTGCATGATAAAACGTTTTGTCCGGCAAG